GTGGCCATATGATTTTAAATGTTTACCAGAAATCAGAATGTGTAAGTGTCAAAGCACACTGATGTATATGCTCTTGTTTAAGGTTAATGTGTACGAATAATCTTTTAGAATTTTACTCAATCAGGAGTCTTTCATCCGTTGTTAACGTAGCGATTGCTGTTTAGGAGCCGCGTTTCTTTTACTCTTTGAGTTCACTGTTTACTATGTAATTCTGAAAGCATTGATTTCATCCTTTTAGATTAAACATTTTATTAAAGAAGTATATTGTGCTGTTTGCGAACAGCACGGAGGTACACTTTTTTGAAAATGAACAGTTTTTACGTGCACAATAATTTAGCATTGTACTTTGACGTTTAGGAAAGGTGTTAAACAACCTTTCAAGCAACCATTTAGTAAATAATAAATCAAAACATACCGTAGGGCAGTTCTTTTCTAGCTTTAATCTAAGAAACAAATGTAAAAGTGTCGATACCAGTCGTCCCAATCACACGGTGAACAGTCGACGCGCTGACAGGTTCGCTCGCTAACTACTGTAACCACAACTGATGATTAGGTACTTACAACATCTTGTGCATAATGTCCCAGTTTGACTGCACGTCACGCATTTCTGCATTCGGAAAGGTCATGTCCGCATGAATTCTCGGTAAAGCGCACGCGCGGGAACGTAAATGGGCGGAGCCTACCGGACGCGCGGGAAGTTCGCTTTTGGCATTCCGTAACGTCCCCAAAACGTTTCCCCCCGTCAGAGTTTTCCAGACTCTTTAGGTCGTGGTAGTCAGCCAATTTAAGTGATGTGCCATGTATTACCTGAAACAAGATGAAGTGAAGCAATAATATGTGACCTAATTTTTGATGGAAGCACATATGAATATTACCTAATCTAATTAAAGTAGATGACGTGAAAACGATCACAGTAAGGAAACTGTCAGGTTCACAGGAACCAATTAGAAGTACTTTAACTGTTACGATAGAAAGACAGAGAGTACAACTAAGGTGAAAATAGTAATCCTCTCTCAACGTAACGACGCTGACGTTTCTAATCTCAGATGATCAAATGTACAAAGCCCTTCTCAAAAACGTCAGAGAAGAAATAAAAGCACAACAGTTAGCAAGAATTTCATCAACATAAGTACCGCTACTATAACATATTGAACTCCTTGCTGTCTTTTCAAAACAATTAATTACTTCAGATCATCTCAAAAGTCACGTGCACATACTCTGACAGATATTCATTGCAATAGGCGACATTCAGTCATCACTGATACTGGAACAAGCATTGATATTTAAGCGAACGGGTTTATTTGATAATGATGAATAAGAAAATCAAAAGATATGAAAAGAAACTGTTTTCAATTAAGCATTCGGGTGCAAATGTTTCGTTTTTTCTTCCCACAAATTCTGATTTTCAATGCAGACGTTTCGCTTTGCCGCCACTCGTAGCAACGGCGCTGGAACCCAGCAAAAGGGTACCAACGCAGTAGCGATATTAACGCTCCCATAGAGTGTACTTATGGGGAACACCTGAACGGTACACATAAAACTTATTGAAGGTATCTGTTAAAAACAAAGACAGTGGTAAGGCAGTGCTCCTTACATGTGGAACTATCAGTGACGCACTAGCGTCATTTATGCAATAAAATCGATTTTCAGTTACCATTATCCTCTGAGCCGGATTTGAACCAGCGACCTATGGATATCCACGTTATGAACGCTACAGTCCACCGCTCTGCCAACTGAGCTATCAGAGGATGATCGGTTACGAAGTTACTTGAAGAATGACCCATTGCTTTTAAATATGGGCTTAAGAAGACCTCACCGCTTAATTTGAGGCATAGTGAAACGTGAAAGCATTTCAAATCCGTTCGAACTTACCTTTAGTCAGGGAATATTACTGCGTGACTTGAACCGCTGTGTAAATTTCGGTAGAATTAAAGCAGTGTATCTGCATTCAAAGGAGCCAGTTTGAGTAGACTCTGACGAGAACATACCAAGTGCCATAGCAAAGAAATGACTTCATAGCTTCTGTCCTTCCGCACGGTATCTTCTGACCAATTTCAACATTAAAAGCGGTAGCATAATTTCATATATTAAAAATATTCCCAAAATGGAATATTTCAACTGGAGCCACTATCATCAATCATTCTTGTGCTACCGCAGATCAGAAACGAACGTTCGTCATGTACGAAGATGATTGACTGAACGTTGCCTTGTTGCAATAGAAAGATGTAATTAATAATCAAGGTTTAAAAGTTTTATGAGCGTATACATTACTATCCTCTGAGCCGGATTTGAACCAGCGACCTATGGATTTCTTTGCAGAAGCACTACAGTCCACCGCTCTGCCAACTGAGCTATCAGAGGATACCATGGGTATCTTCGTCAGAGAGGTGCAGTGAAGTGAATGAGTTGTTAAAAGCAATGTATTTCAAGCTCAGGACAATCACTAGACTTGTTTCAGTGGTTTAAGCTCATCACCGCCTCTCTGAACTGATCTTCCTGGCTTCCTGCTCATCTTCCCGGCATTTTCTTGCAGCCTTCCCTAGTTTGTACATAGTTTTCAGAAGCTTTGAACCATGAATATCATTAAGTGGAACAAAGGAAGTTTGGACATCGTTTCCTCTGCCTCATCTTACTCTCTTCAAATCATATTTCACAACCAGTTCATGTTTCAACATATTAGACATTGCAGTAAAAATAAAAGAAAAGTCAATCCTTTGCTTAAAATTATATGAATAACAATATCGAATCACAGCATATTCTTTGGGCACTTGATTTTAAGTTAAGAGGATTATTCTAATGCGAACTCTTTGAAGCCTCATTGACTTTGAGAATACTAAATGATGGTGCCTATTTGTCGCGTTGTTGCAATGCAAGGAAGCTGTCCATAACTTAACGCAAAAGTTTTCCTTTTTCCTGCACTGCAATCCTCTGAGCCGGATTTGAACCAGCGACCTATGGATGTCCGTGTCAGGAACACTACAGTCCACCGCTCTGCCAACTGAGCTATCAGAGGGCAGTGACACATAACCGTAGCAGCAATATGGAGTACAGCATCATCCTTTGGGCCTAGATGAGTTCTGAAAGCCATGACATTTTTGCCAATAAAAGAACTTCCAAAATTGACGGCGTTACAACCATGCTATTGCCATTATGATGAGCAAAGGATGCGTTAGCAGTCGAGTATTAGCCGCTTCCACGAGGTCCCATAAAAGAAAGCTTGATGAACTAGGCAAGTCGCATTTCTCAGAATGAAAATGAGCGGTGCTCCTACAAAGAAGCCAGTTTTTGAAATGAACATTTTGCACTTCTTCATCTATTGAGAAACTGTCATTATTTTGTTTGGAAGCACTCGTACTTGAAAACTTCCTATTGGTATGGATACAAACTTCTTTTATCCCGTCTCTCACGTCCTCTAATAGCTCAGTTGGCAGAGCGCTGGACTGTAGTGCTTCTGCAAAGAAATCCATAGGTCGCTGGTTCAAATCCGGCTCAGAGGATATCAGTGCAAGAAGAGGGAAAACGTTTTGCCTTTAATTATGGCCAACTTCAAAATTGGAAAAACAGGAAGCATCATTTAGAATTCATAACGTTTATGAGGCTTTAAGGCGTTCACATTGGAATGATCTTCCCAATATTCTAAATTTAATGTTACCTGCCTGAAAATGCTCAAAATTTCTACTATTATTGTTAATATAATTTTAAGCAAAGGAGTGATTTTTCTTTTATTTCTTACTGAAATGTGTAATATGTTGAAACAAGAACTGGTAATGAAATATGATTTGAAGAGAGTAAAACCACATAAAGCAAACGACATCGACCAAAGATCCTTTATCCCACTTAATGATACTCATGGTTCAAAGCTTCCAAAAATTATGTACAGATTAGGGAAACAAAAATGGAGGGAAGATGAACAGCAAAGTAGGAAGATCAGTTCATAGAGGCAGCGTTGAGCTCAGTCTTCTGAAAGAAGGCCAATAGTGGACCTGAGCTTGAAGAATATTGCTTTAGTAGCTCATTTATTTTATGGTACCTCTCTGACAGCCTTAGTGGATACTATCCTCTGATAGCTCAGTTGGTAGAGCGGTGGACTGTAGTGTGCGTAACATAGATATCCATAGGTCGCTGGTTCAAATCCGGCTCAGAGGATAGCAATGTACACGACTCCTAAAACTTTTAAAACTTGATTATGAATTACACCTTTCTATTGCAACAAGGCAACGTTCAGTCAATCATCTTCCCACATGATGAACGTTTGTTTGTCATCTGCGCTTGCATAAGAACGACTGATGATAGTGGCTCCAGTTAAAATATTCCATTTTGGGAATATTTTTAATATACGAAATTATGCTACCGCTTTTAGTGTTGAAATTGTTAAGAAGATACTGCACGGAAGGACACAAACCATGAAGTCATTTTTTTTCTATGGCAGTTGATGTGTTTTCGTCGAAGTCTACTCAAATTGGCGGCTTTGAATGCAGGTACGCTGCTTTCATTGTACGGAAAGTCATACAGTAACATTTCTTGACTAAAGGTACAACGTAAGTTCAAGCTGATTTGAAACGCTTTCACGTCTGAATGTGTTTCATCTTTTCTAAGTGAGCTTTTTAAACGCAGTGAATCATTTTGTAAGCGTCTTCATGACCACTCATCCTCTGATAGCTCAGTTGGCAGAGCGGTGGACTGTAGCGTTCATAATGTGGATATCCATAGGTCGCTGGTTCAAATCCGGCTCAGAGGACTTACAATGCAGCGAACATGGCAAGTTGTGGGCACGAAATTTGATTGATCTTTTGTATTTGCATGATGGAAGAACCTGAAAGCTTCTTCGTACTTTAGTATGAGGAACATTGTCAATGGCATTTGAGTTTGGAAGAGCTCTTTTTAAAAATATTCTAAATTGACATCAACATTATAATGCTGTACGGTGAAATGCTTAAGAGGATGTACTGATAAAGAAAAATGGAAATGCACGACGATTGAATAGTTGCACTACCATGAAAAGTGACAATAAGTCTTTAGTTAGCATAATTGTGCATTGCAGTTTTTTTGTGTTCAGTGTGCAAGTAACTAATTACGTTAACTGTCCCTACAGAGGAATATTCTTTTTCTTTGGATTGGAATGCTACACGAACTAGAATTGATCTCATTTGCGTTCATGTCACGTGATTTGGTGGTAGACTGCGAAGTATTATTCTTGTTGAATTACTTAGTTCATGTATTCTGTTAAGCATCCTCTGATAGCTCAGTTGGTAGAGCGGTGGACTGTAGTGTTGAGCACACGGGCATCCATAGGTCGCTGGTTCAAGTCCGGCTCAGAGGATAACGTTATGTTATTGCTAAGCGGCATCAGCTTTTGGCTGTGACTGTATGCTGCATTATTATACTGCAACAATGGACTGATCAGCTCTCGTACGTTTGCATAAGGATGATTAATGGATGAGTGCGACTTGGAAAATACGCTTTTGAAAATATTTGTTAATAAAATTTGTTTATGTAATCACGGCTTTGCTACAGCTGATTGACTGCCCTGTTTTTGTTATATGAGAGTATTTTATGCTTGGACAGCGTAAGTTGAAACTCAGTTGAAATGAAAGAAACCTTCTAATTGAATCATTGGAACTTCGGCCCTATTGCTTTAAACATGTTACAATCGTCAATCAACCTCTGATAGCTCAGTTGGCAGAGCGGTGGACTGTAGTGCTGATAGCATAGATATCCATAGGTCGCTGGTTCAAATCCGGCTCAGAGGAAAGTGAAAGTTTTGCCTCACACTACTGACAGCTCGTTGTCACTGCAACACAGAAATGATGAACATGTAACTTCTAGCGTTCTTAACGTTAGTAGGGCCTTCCAGTCCGCATAAGACTGTCTGTTTCTGGTATTCTTTCCTCAAAACGACTTTATTGGAAACAATTAAAGCCTTTGTAACAGGTCTGCATGTCTTCATGTTTTTGCTTTCATGATATGTCACCCATTTATTGTTCATACAAATACAAAAATGAGTGAGTGAAGCTTTGAGGAAACGGCCGTTCCTGTTCTCAGTCCATTCGTAGTAATGGGAATACTTCTGAAAGCTTCGCAGGTTCACTTCTATACTTGTATGAACAATAAATCGGCAACATTTGGCAAAACCTGAAAAACATAATGAAGCCTTAAACTTAAGCCTCATTTTAAACAGGAAATTGGTTATTGTTTACCTTTTGTTAATATGCTCAATGGCATCAAAAGCAATTATATCTCACTGTTTCAGTGCTGACAGAAGGCAACGTATCGTTTGATAATGCATTTATTCAGCTTCATGTCCTCTGATAGCTCAGTTGGCAGAGCGGTGGACTGTAGTGTTCATAGCACAGAGATCCATAGGTCGCTGGTTCAAATCCGGCTCAGAGGAAAGTGAAAGAAAGTGAAAGTTTTGCCTCACACTACTGACAGCTCGTTGGCACTGCAACACGGAAATGATGAACATGTATCTTCTAGTGTTCTTAACGTTAATACAGCCTTGCAGTTCACATAAGACTGTTTGTTTCTGGTTTTCTTACTTCAAAACAACTTTATTATAAATAATTGAAGCCTTGTGCTTATAGCATGGTTGGTAGCAGGTCTGCATAGCTTCAATGTTTTGGGTGTTGTGATCTGTCATCCATTTATTCTTCATGAGTGAGCGAAGCATTGAGGAAACGACCGTTCCCGTTCTCAGTGCATTCGTAATAATGAGGATACTTCTGAAAGCTTCGCAGGTTCATTTTTATATTTGCATGAACAATAAATTGGCAACATTTAGCACAATCCAGAAAACATAATTGAAGCCTTATACTTAAGCCTCAGTTTAAACAGGAAATTAGTTATTGCTTGTTTTTGCTAATATGCTTAATGACTTCAGAAGCATTCATAACCCACTGTTTCAGTGATGACGTGTTCAACAGCCGCTTATTCACTCCATATGAGTCGTTCACATCCTCTGATAGCTCAGTTGGCAGAGCGGTGGACTGTAGTGTTCATAAAACATGGGCATCCATAGGTCGCTGGTTCAAATCCGGCTCAGAGGATGCGAATTAGTTTATGGTGAGTGAAGACTAAACTTGATAGTCGATTGTTTTTGCTCACCCCGACAGTACAGAACTAAATATATGAGTTTTCAGCTGCCCTCCAAGAAGCTGACCTGTTGTCAGATAACAGTTCGTGAAGAAGAAAGGGTGGAAGAAGATAGGACGAAATAAAAAGAATGAACAAATGCAAAGAATTGCGTGCACTAGAGGACTATCGCTCACACGAAGAAGGCGAAAGAATAAAAGAGACAATAGACACAAAAGAGAAAAGACAGACCAAATAAAAGAAATAAAAACAGAAGAAAAACAAAGAACAGAGGAGACTTGATAATATAAAAAACATTGAAAGGGAGAAGAAAACAAAAGCAAACACAACGACAGGACATTGAGGTGCTGAAAACGCTCATTTTCTACTACTTCGTTTTCTTCAACAAAATGGACCCACTGTAAGCTCCTATAATGCAAACCCATAGGCCCATTACATGGTGTACCGTTTTCACATTCGGGAGATATACAATACAGTCTGGAGGTGAAACGAATCAATTTTCTTTTCCTTAAAAGGCAGCACGCTCTGGCCAAAGGTGATTACGGGTCGTCAGTTAGGGATATTTTGCGTGGCACTACTTCATCCTAATTGTTCGCATGATAATCAGTTAATCAACTGAACCTGTTCAGTAACGCTAGCTTATTTGATCTGTTCCCGCTGCTTAATAATGGAGAAGAGAAAACTGTCTTTCCATCCTCTGATAGCTCAGTTGGCAGAGCGGTGGACTGTAGTGTTACTGACATGGACATCCATAGGTCGCTGGTTCAAATCCGGCTCAGAGGACTATGATACGGCTAAAACGGCACTTTTGGCCCAGAAACTCGATAAATGTTTTGTATTGGGACGATGCAAGAAGGTGCATCCGTCTTCTTACGTTAATTCAGTAGTCTTTGAATTTGCAAGATACCATTTTAAAAATATTTAAAATTTAGAGTATAACGGCAAGTGATGACGTACTTAAAAATACATACTAGCAAAGAAACACTGAAATGTTGCGATTAGTTACCTCACCATGAAAACTGACAATAATTCACTAAGCAGTATAACTTTATGTTGCAGTTATTTTGCTCCCATTGTATGCAATGAAGTATGTACGCTGTCCTCATAGAGGAATATGTTTTGCATAAGAATGCTAAACGAATTGAAAACTGATCTGATTTGTGTTCACTTCAGATGATTTCATGGTAGACAGCGAAGTATTGTTGTTACTAGACAGATCATTACATTTTGTCATAGGAAACCATAAAAGAGTCCTCTGATAGCTCAGTTGACAGAGCGGTGGACTGTAGCGTTCATAACGTGGATATCCATAGGTCGCTGGTTCAAATCCGGCTCAGAGGACAGCAGTGTACAGAAAGCGAAAGTTTTGCCTCACAGTTCTGACAGCTTGTTGGCATTGCAACACAGAAATGATGAACATGTATGTATGTTTTAGCGTTCTTAAGGTTTAGCCTCCCAGTCCGCATAAGACTGATTGGTTCTGCTATTCTTACGTCGAAGCAACCTTATTCGAAATAATTAAAGCTTCATGGTTCAACACGGCATGCGCTGTAACAAGTCTGTAGGTCTTCATGTTTTTTGGTTTAGTCACGTGTTGTGTATTTATTATTCACAGAAATGTGGAAATTGGGGAGCGAAGCTTTCAGGAAACGACCGTTCCCGTTCTCAGTGCATTCATAGTAATGGGAATACTTCTGAAAGCTTCGCGCATTCACTTTTACATTTGTATGAACGATAAGTCTGCAACATGTGAGAATACGCAAAAAACATAATGAAGCCTTAAACTTGAGCCTTATTTTAAACAGGATATTGGTTATTGTTTACCTTTTGCTAACTGGCACAGTGGCTTCGCAAGCATTTATATCTCACTGTTTCAGTGCTGACAGAAGGCAACGTGTTGTTTAATAAGTTATTTATTCAACTTCACATACAAGTTGCATTAATGGTTCACGTCCTCTGATAGCTCAGTTGGCAGAGCGGTGGGCTGTAGCATTCATCACGTGGATATCCATAGGTCGCTGGTTCAAGTCCGGCTCAGAGGATAATGGTTGCTAAGAATTATGTTTTATTGCGTAAATGGCGCTGATCGATCACTGGTGGTTGCATACGAAAGGAGCAATGCCTTACCGCTCTCTGCGTGTTTCCACAGATACAAGCAGTATGCTTTTAAGCATATCTTTCAGATGCCTGCGTCATGCGTCATCCATAAGCACATACGTACCTACGCTGTTCACAATATTAATACAAAAGGATGCCTAAACGAAAACGTTGCTTTTGATATCTTTTTATTTTCTTATTCATCGTTCTTAAATAAACCTGTTCACTTAATATCAATCGTTATTCAAACGTCAGTGATAACTCAATGTCACCTGTCGCATTGGATACCCGTCAGAGTAACTGCACGTGACTTTTGAGATGATCTGAAGTAATCAGTTGTTTTGAAAAGACAGTAAGCAGTTCAATATGTTATAGTAGCGGTACTTATGTTGATGAAATTCTTGCTAACTGTTGTGCTTTTATTTCTTCTCTGACGTTTTTCAGAAGGGCTTCGCACATTTGATTATCTGAGATTAGAAATGTCTGCCTCGTTACGTTGAGAGGACTACTGAGTATTTTCAGCTTGGTTGTACTCTCTCTCTCTCTTTCCATCATAGCAGTTAAGGCACTTTTAATTGGTTCCTGTGTACCTGACAGTTTCCTTACTGTGATCATTTTCACATCAACTACTTTAATTAGATTAGGTTATATTCATATGTGCTTCCATAAATAATTAGGTCACATATTGTTGCTTCACTTCATCTTGTTTCAGGTAATACATAGCACATCACTTTCATTGGCTGACTACCACGACTTCAAGAGTCTGGAAAAACCTGGCGGGGAAAACGTTTTGCCGCCAACAACGGAATGCCAAAAGCGGACTTCCCGCACGGCAGCAAGGCCCTGCAACTTTATGCTACCGCCCGTGCTCTCCATGCACAGTTCATACGGGCCTGACCTTCCCGAATGCAGAAATGTGTGACGTGCAGTCAAACTGTGACATTATGCACAAGGAGTTGTAAGTACCTGATCATCAGTTGTGGTTACAGTATTTAGCGAGCGAACCTCTCAGCACATCGACTGTTCGCCGTGTGATTGGGACGACTGGTACCGAGACCACGTTTAGATTTGTTTCTTAGGTCGAAGCTAGAAAAGAACTGCCTTACGGTAAGTTTTTATTTATTATTCACTAAACAGTTGCTTGAAAAGTTGTTTGACACCCTTCCTAAAACAGTGCTGAACTATTATGCACGTAAAAGCTGTTCTTTTTCTTAAAAGTATACTTCCGTGCTGTTCACAAATGGGACAATATACTTCTTTAATAAAATGTTTAATCTAAAAGGATAAAATCAATGCTTTCGGAATTACACAATAAACAGTGAACTCAGAGTAAAAGAAACGCGGCTCCTAAAGAGCAATGGCTACGTTAACAACGGATGAAAGACTCCCGATTGAGTAAAATTCTAAAAGATTATTCGTACACGTTAACCTTAAACAAGAGCATATACATCAGTGTGCTTTGACACTTACACATTCTGATTTCTGGTAAACATTTAAAATCATATGGCCACTGTAACTCTCAAAGGTTTTAATGGGAGCATTATGCTTATCGTCGTGCGTAACCAAAGGACTGTTGTTATTTGACTAATTGGACAACGTAATGAGCAACAGCTCCCTAATGTGCATACAAAGTACAACTGAATAATTCTTTGTAATGTGAACAGGTTAAGTATGGGTATACTTGATGAAGAATGAGAGAGCTTTGATAAAAACTATATAAGATCAAGTGGGAATAATACATATGCAAAATGGGAAGCGGTGCTACAGGAAAACATGAAAAGCAGTTGTAGACGTTTACAAAGAAGTCTTATGCCTATATTTTTAGAACGCTCAGAGCATTAAGACCATAGTGTTGGGACCTTATGGTGAATTCTGAGCTATGCTGTTCAGTGGGTTGATCAGTTGCTTTGTATTCATATTACTTTTTCCTGAAACGTCATCAAGACAGGCAACTATTTCTAAAACGCAGCGAATAAGTGCGTCAGGAAGTATCTATAACAACGCCTCATATGAGAGGCATAACGAATCGTCCTTTAACGCGAGAAATGACTTGCAAGACACCAAACCAACGCCTTCACTTCAACTGTACAATAAGTCAACTTCCACTCTGACGGGTGACTTGCAACACAGTCAGCCTATGAGTTCATTCCGAAATAACACAAATGAAACTGTTTTACAAAATAAGAAAATTAGCTGCTCACATGAGCATACCTTTCCTGTCATGCTATTGTATAGGTCGAATAAGACAAAATCGAGTTGCTTTCGCTACGTACTGATAAATGAAAATTTTTGCCGGAAACGGTACCCAAAAATATTCGTCATAGCAATTGTGCACAGCCATCCGAAGAATTTCAAAAGGAGAAGCTTAATACGCAGAACGTGGGGTAATAATGAATTCTACGAAAAGTTCAAGTTGGCAGTGGTATTCGCTATGGGCGAAGATCCACAGCATCCTTCCGTGCAAACGACATTGCAGCGGGAATGGGAAACCTACGAAGACATCGTTCAATTCAATTTTACAGATACTTATCACAACTTAAGTCTCAAAGGAATCTCGTGGCTCAATTGGGCGGCAAAATATTGTCCAATGGCAAAGTACATTCTGAAAGTTGATGATGACATGTATGTTAATACTTTTGCCATTATGCGATTCTTCCGAAAGCACGAGCCTCTAAAGAGTTCCACAAAGGCGTTCTATTGCTTTGTGTGGAGAGGAATAGGAGTAGAACGTTACAAAGGCGCCAGATGGTACGTCTCCTATGAAGAATTCAACCGGTCAGTGTATCCAACATATTGCTCAGGAAGCAGCTATATTTTATTCATGCAAGCAGTTCAACCGCTTATTGACAGCGTTGAA